TATATATATATATATATATATAACGCGCGTTCCCGCTAGATTGTATTCTGCGGGAAGATGGTAGCCGCGGAGAAGTGAGCAACGTGAATTATACGACGGCGAGATCGTTGTCCGTAGCCGGTGCGTCGGTCGACGACGGCGGGAAGGCGCGGGAGAGAAGCGACGGGGGTAGGGGGTGGCGGAGGTCGCGAGGCCTCGGGCGGCCCGGCGCGCACACTTCAGTTCGGTTCGGTGTTCAGTTCAGTCAGTGCGAGCGCTCGAGCGGTTCAGATCGGTCGCGTCGTTCCGCACGCTCGTAACCGATCGCCCGGCGTCGCGTGGAGCCGACCGACAACGCTCCGGATCGTCTCGCACCGCGCCGCCGGAGAGGATCGCCCCCAACCGAACGATCGATCGATCGATCAATCCGACGATTTGTGTCTGTCGCTGATCCAACGGATTCGCTCCACCAGTCGGGCGCGCGCACGCACGCGGCATCCCAGCGGCATACTTCAGTTCGCGTTCCGGAGCGGTCTGCGATCTGTTGCGGGTGGTAAGTATATATCTCACGCGATTCACAATTATTCTCATTGCCGAGGAACACGTGGCGCGATTATCTCGCGCGTCTCGTGTCGCGTCAAGGTGTATCCGCCTCCCGCGAAAATGAGTTTAGCGCCGGCACCGCGCGAGACACGTTACGCAATATTTAAATTCGTATTTTTAGGCTTATAGGAACCGCGATGCGCGCGCGCTCGCCCGCCAGTGACACATACGCTCGTCTGATCAGCGCGCTCTTGTTCAGAAGATTACGTCTCGTGAGACGCGGATCGCGGAAATATATCTGGATCTGCTTTCCTGTGAGGATCTAGGATCGATCGATTTTTAAAAGGACGTAGCGGGGGAGAAGTGGAATTTCTCACCGACTCCCCGCGTGAAAATCGCGGCGTTCAAAACCGCGGTGTCCTCTGCGATCGCTTCCTCGCTGGGATCCTCCTTACTTCGGGGCTTACTAGTACACCGGGACGTCTACTTCGAAAGTGGAGTTATCGGTAAGCCGTGCGGCTGCTATTTGCATTAAACCAAGATTTCGAGTCAACGCTCGTAGCGATACGTGACAAGGCAGGTGGTAACATGTGTACTGCCAGTGTAAATTTAAACACGGGTTTAAAATCAGCCGGTGTACGTGCACGCATTTTTCTACGTGTGCGTGTGCGCACAAGTTGAAAATGCACACTACCGGTTTCCATCTAGTTTGCCCTCCCCTCGCCGCGCCCGGTCTTGTCTGCGGGCGCCCGATGTTAAGCCTGATTCACGCAGCCGCCGGCAGGAACGTTATACAATGTGATTTATGGGCTTAGAGATAGCTCTGCTAACAGTCACCGATATACGGATCGACGTACCGATGACAGACAGGTCGGAGGAAATCGGTATCGTCGGGTTCCAATTCATGCGTCAGCAGCCCGCTCAATCGCCGCTCAAATTGACTGCTCCGAAAAATAAAAGATACAACCAATGCGGAATTCATCCTCTTAGGTACAGTCAATTTTCTGATTGCCATTATTACTTTCCTGAGTGAAGATATCGTTCATTAACAATAGCTGCCTTTTTCGTATAGATCATGGAGAGTGGTAATGATTCGGAATTTCCAAAGTATTTCGGAATAATTTTCATTGCTCCACGATTGACATTTACGTTCTTTCTTGCAAAACGCAGGGGATGCTCATAAACAGGGGGGGGCTGTAGCCCCAGGCCCCACGGAAATAGGGGTCCCCGTTACATTAAGAAAAAAATTTCAATTTTTTGATTAAAATTAAAATTAAAATCATTCGAAATTATTTTTGATATCTTAAAAAAAATTAATTTTTATTCCCTTAATATATCTATAGTAATCTTTATGATTCAATTTTAATGTTTATTGTTTTGGATTAAATAATCTATATTTAATCCGAAACAATAAACATTAAAATTGAATCATAAAGATTACTATATATTAAGGGAATAAAAATTAATTTTTTTTAAGATATCAAAAATAATTTCGAATGATTTTAATTTTAATTTTAATCAAAAAATTGAAATTTTTTATACTGCTTCTAATTATACTGTTTTACGTGTAGATGTAATCATCTTTTTTAAAAAGATTGAAAAGATGGGCCCCCTAAGTTAAATAGCCCCGGGTCCTTCAAGTCTTTAAACCGGGCCTGCTCATAAATCCTATAATGTTTACTTACATAAAGGACTTTCATAAATTATAGAGAAAACTATAGAACGAATACTCCAAAATACATATTCGTAGTTTCGCTTTGCGATC